GGTATCGGAACACAAACAGACACACAGACCAATGGAACAAAACAGAGAATTCAAAAGTAAATCCACCTACCTACAACCAACTGATCTTTGAGAAAGGAGCCAAGAACATATACTGGGGAAAGGACATTCTCTTCAATAGATGGTGGTGGGTAAACTGGAGATCCATATGCAGGAGATTCAAACAAAACCACTATCTCTCACCATATATCAATATCAACTCAAAACTGATTAAAGCCTTAAATGTAAGACCCTAAACTACAAAACTTCTAGAAGAAAACATAAGGGAAGCACTTTAGGACATAGGTCTGGTCAAATATTTTATAAATAACACTTTACAAGCACAGGGAACAAAATGAAAAATAAACCAATGGGATTATACCAAACTAAAAATCTTCTGCACAGCAAAGGAAACAATCAAGAGAGTGAAAAGACAACCTGCTTACAGAATGGGAGAAAATGTTTTCAAATCATGCCTCCAATGAGGGATTAATATTCAGAATATATGAAGAACTCAAACAAATCAATAGTAAAAAATCAAATAATCCAATTAAAAAATGGGCAAAGGAACTGAATAGATATTTTTCAACAGAAGACATAGATATGGCTAACAGGTATATGAAAAATGCTCAACATCACTAATCTTCAGGGAAATACAAATCAAAACCACAATGAGAAACCATCTCACCCAGTTAGAATGGCTATCATCAAAAAGACAGAAAAAATAAATGCTGGCAAGAATGTGGAGAAAGAACACATTGTTGGTAGGGATGTAAATTAGTACAGCCATTATGAAAAACAGTATGAAGGTCTCCCAAACAACTATAGATGAGCTATCATATGACCCTACAATCCCACTGTTGAGTATATATCCAAAGGAATGAAATCAACATGTCAAAGGGATGTCTGTACTCCCATGCTTTTCACAGCTGAATTCACAGTAGCCAAGGGTTGGAACCAACCTAAATTTCCTTCAACAAGTGATTGGATAAAGAATACACAATGGAATACTCAACCATAAAAAAGAATGAAATTCTGCCATTTGCAGCAACAAGGACGAGCTTGGAGAAAATTATGTTAACTGTCAGACATAAAGAGAGAAATAGACTTTCTCACTTATATGTGGGAGCTAAATAGGTTGACCTCATAGAAGTAGAGAGTAGAATAGTGGTTACTAGAGATTGCAGGGGAAAGGAGGAGGGAGTTGTGGAAGGGGTGATCAGCAGATACACGATGGTAGAGAGATAGGACGAATGGGATCAAGTGTTCTATAATGTAGGGAGACTACAGTTAACAACAAAGTGCTGTGTGTCTTTGGGTAGCTAGTCAAGATGATGTTGTATGCTCCTAACACAAAGAAATGACAAATGTTTGAGGTGATGCATATACTAAGCACCCTGATGTGATCATTGCACACAGTTTGAATGTACCCAAATGTCATACCATACTCCATAAATATATACAATTATCATGGGTCAGCTAAAGAAAATAAATTAAAAAGAGAGAGAAAGAGAGAGTAGAATAGTTACCAGAAGCAACGAAGAGCAGAGGTGGTGGGGATGTTGGAGAAAGGTTGACAAACTTGTACAAAGTTACAAAGTTACACTTAAACAGAAAAAATAAGTTCTGGTGCTCTAGGGTAGCAATAGCTAATAATATTGTATTGTATATTTCATCCTAGCCAGAAAAGAGGCTCTTGAATGTTATAACCACAAAGAAATGATAAATATTTAGGTGATAGATATGTTAACACTTCTGACTAGGTCATTAAATAATATATGCATGTATGGACACCACAAACTGGACCCCATAAACATGTATAATGAAAAAATAAATAAAAGAATCAGCAAAACCAAATAAATAAATAAATAAATAATGAAATTGACAACCTGGAAAGATACGTAAATGTAGAAAACTCCCCACACTTGTGTATACACTATAGAACTTCGTTTTCCCTTTACAGCTAGCCCTTAATAATTAAGATTGCCTTGAAAGCAAACATCCTGTCTTGCCCAGTACATCTCTTAAGGCAGGAAGCAGCTGTCTATCACACTTGAAGACTTTCTAAATCTTGTTTTGCCTGATAAATCTCTCAAAGCATCCTTTCTTACCTGATACATCCTGCTACATATGCATCTCTCAAAGCAGGAAGCAACTGTCCATCACACTTTAAGACATCTTATCTTCCCAATACATTTACCTGTATAAAAGTCAGCCCTCAGTGGATCAGGGAGGCAGTTGAGACTTTACCCTCTGTCTCCTGGCTGATGTCTTCTGAAATAAAAAGACTCCTTTTAATTCTGTCTGGCAGGTATAACTGGTGATCCCATAGCAGTGAGCACTTGGACCCACATAGGTCAGAGATTCCCCTGGTGAAGGGGAATCCCATGGGATTTGTTTGTTACCAGATAGATAAAGAAAAAACATAGTGGCAGAAAAAAAATTTTTAAATATAAATTTTTTTTTTTTTTTTTTTGTCTTTTGTCTTTTTTCCGTGTCCGGCAACGGATCACAACCCTCAGTGTTGCCCCCGTACCGGACCGGGGACTGGCAATGGGATTGCAAACCTCGGTGTTGCTCCCGCGCCTCGCTCAGCCAGTGAGCGGGAACCGGTCTG